AACAGCTAGAGTCACTACTACTGCGATAGTAAACTGGATATTTTTGGGTTTTGGACATTGGCAAAATGAGACATTTGAAGCTGTTAACTTGGGCTCTAAGAAATTGTGTCGGACATTTTTTTCATTTAATTGATTAATCGATAATGAACATAATCATTAGTTGAATCCCCATTTTAACAGTGTGGTATTCCTAATTTTTAAAACATCTCAGTGCCAGTTTCACCACTACCTTTCTCCCCTGAAAGTCTGAACCCCACAGTAAGTTTGTCCATCTTTGACTCAACAACACATGGAAACAAATTGACATTTTACAGACTCTGCAGTCCCACCAACTCCAGTGCAGTTTCCCCTCAGCCTGAGGGAGGAGCTCTGCAGACTATCTAGCAACAATAGAATATCACCACTGGGCAGGAACCTGAAAAACCAGGGTGGTGCCATAGTAGAGTGACCGGAAATACTATATTCTCAGGACCTAAAGCTAGCCCAGAATTGACAAGAAGAAAACTTAAAAATTAAAGACAGAAACTGAGGCTGGATGCCTGATTCACTCACAAGTCTTCCTATGCTCATGTGTTCATTTACTTTAATGTGTTTAAACCATCTCTGCTGATATTTAAAGATGTATAAATACATCATCAGAAGGTCCATGTTTTATGCTCATGTATTTTTGTCATTTTCTCTTTAACTTTTTTATTTATTTCTTTTTGTTATATATTGTAAATGATTTATATTAGTTGTTAACCATAAACATAATTATTCTCTCAGTTATTTAATATGACCTTGTACTTCTTAAAGTAACCCTGTAGGTGTCACTGTTATATTTGGTATCTGACGCTGCTGCAGCTGCTGCTGCTTGTGTGAGCTGGCGAAGAGTTGATTGTTATAGGGGCAGAAACATGCACATTTCAGAGTTTAAAATTTGCCTAATTAAATGCCCAGGTTGAGTTTAATCTAAGTCCTAATGCTAAGATCTAGGCTTGGGCCTGAGACGCTGCTGACAGGAGGTCAGTAGATGGGAATAGAGGCTTAGCAAAAGACAAGTTTTTAATGAGGATGGCTGGTCTATGGTTTGAATACGGTTTGAAGTATGTTTAAAATATAAAATTCAGTTCACAGAGTTGATGACAATACCAGTATAGTTACACATACGTTTAATGTTAAACAGTTATGGTGAAACTGGGTTTTGCTGTGAAATGTTTAGATGTTGCTGCAGGGTCAGAGTCACTGACTGAAAACACAAAAGTTTCAGACATCTGTCACACGCCAGCGCATGCCCTCCGCCCTCCAGACAATAGAGCTGTGGATAGGGGGAGTCCAGTGAAGAGGGTCAGGATCTTCTTCACTCTTGCCATCCTTTTATTCTTATGCTCCCATGAGCTTATGGGCTCTTTACATAATAGAAATAGTCCCATGGTCCCTCCACAATTTTACAAGCAAAAAGATCAGTTTAACAAAATAAGTTTATCCACGTGATAAAGTGTTAATTTTAGAGGTTATTTCTTTTTTTTTTTTTTTTTATAAAAGGTTTTTTAGGAAGAACTATATAATGTGAAATAAAGTATAGGGGGGGGAAAGGGACAAAATTCTGAGACTGGTATTTAAATGAGTTCACTTAGCTGAGTTTAAATAGTTGAGGATTTCCAGGGGAATTTCCTTGAGAGGAGTACAATAAATGCAAATAGCAGAACCAAGTACAAACAGACACAAAATATTATCTCTGTTTAGAGGAAAACAGCATCCTGTTATTGTTTCAATATCAGGTGTAATTTCTAGGGATTGACATACTAGTAATAGAGCTGCAAAATGAATTTGGACTTTTGTAAGGCCAAAGCACCAGTGAAAACAACAAGGAATGTTAGGAACTCGTCATAATATATTTCAGTGAAAGATGAGGAGACTCAAATCTGTTGAATTTCACAAACAAAACGACAAAGTCAAGGGTTTTTTTTTTTGGTATGATATCTTCATTTCCGTGACACAACAGTCTTTACTGAGGTAGACTATAACAGGTCAAGAATTAGAAACATTGCTCTGAAAACCGGCATGTGAAATGACATGAAATAAATACTTCCATGTACAACGTCTTCAAAATGAGGTAGAAATGGTTACAGAGAATGTACAAGATACAACAAAAGTACAACTGAATTACAAAGATAACACTGAAATCCCATTTTTGATCAGTTGGACAAATTGAACTCCACTTACATTAATGAATAACAGTAACACCAAGACACAGCAAATACTGTTGTCTGTCGTAGTGTGAAGGTGGATGTAGAGCACATTCTTTGTGTGGTAGTGAAGAGCATTGTTGTAGCTAAGCGCTTAAATACTTTTAAAATCTGGGGGTAAGAATACATTATCATAGCCTATGTTTAACACCTTTTCATTAATCTGTTTTTTTTTTCTTCAGCATAATTTGAAGCAAAATCTGTTTCACACTCAACCACATTCATGAAAGTAGGTTACTTTTATGAATGTGCTTATATTTCCAAAAAAGAGGCATTAAAATACTTTTCATCACACTGAATTTCAGACTAAATCTGAAGTTGCATATCAGCCTAAAAATCTCACTATTAAAGGGGATTCACTCTCTGGGCATGCTTTTAGGCAGGAGTTTGGTTTTGTTACAGCGCCCTTAATTTTGCACAAAATAATTGTATGGCACAGTTTCTGAAGGGATGAAATAGTGGAGCAGTGAAGCTACAACTCGGTTAAAAAAATAACAGCAAAAAGTACATATTTTCTGACAGTGCACATCCTTTGTTAATGCTCGTCACAAATAACCTCTCCTTTCTTCGTGGTGTCAGTTTATGTTAAAGCTAAATTCACGCTGATTGACAGGTGACACACTGTCAAGCGGTTTTAAAATACTGACAAGGGAAATGGAAATTGGACACTTTATTAAGACATTTGATAAACATGCCTATTATAGAGCATATGCTGTATTATGTGTATGTTTTGATATGTCAAATATTGTCTATCAGGAGTGCTTTGTTTTGACTTTTTGTCCACAAAACCATTTCCCCACTGCTAACTACACTAACACTTAACATGTCATTCTTTTCTCGACCAAAACCTATAAGAGAGTTACATCTATACATGAAGAAAATATGTTTCATATATCTAAAAACATCATCCATGTACATTATGGCATGTATT